CCACTTTTTTAAGGATGTGGTTGTCTGTGGCCAATAGAATGAGACCATTTTTAACACCCAACAGAGAAAAGAAAATAATTTGAACAACAAAAGTAAATTCTTGGCACTCTTGGGGTTTGAAGATAGAGATCTAATTGTAAGGGGGAGTTTCTGTGTCTCATTTCTCTCCCACTGAGATGTTTCCGGAACCCATTCAAAGCCACATCCCATGAAATGGGGAACTGGTTTGGGGTGAGGCTTCTCGTAATCCCCTCGCAGGTCCGTTGTGAGGATGTGTCCAGTGTGGATGTTTGTCCTTCCAGGCAAAGGGTGCCCTGTGAGTACTCAGACGGGTTACTTTGTAGCCTGATCGTGACTTGCAACGGTCCCTTCCTTTCGAGGTGGTCGAGCGGTAGAGCTCTTTTTGGTGAAGGAGTGAATTGGCGATACAGTCTACTGCTCGAGTTTGTGGTCCCATCCTGGCTGGAGACGATCACACTGTGGGGGAGGGGAGGTTGCAGCTTTTGTCTTCAAAGGAGCTGAAGACGCCTGCCTGCCTGCCTGCCTGCAGGGTGAAAGGCAGAGGGAGTCCGTGTCTCACCTGCTGTTTGCATCTCCCAAGGTGCCGTACTCTTCATTTTTGCCCCTCCATGGACTCTTCTCCTCACTTGGAGACCGGCCTGTGTAGAAAGGGTCAAAGGGTTTCAGCATCTTTCTCTGGTGGGCGAAGCCTCGACTGGTGGTTTCATTCCTTTACGAGTTTTGTGCATTAGACTCTGATTCTATCACAAAGTGTGAGCTTATGAAGTACGTTGTGTCTCCCGTGCTCCTGTTACTTTGGGCTACTTGGAGAACCTTTTAGTTCCCTGCAGCTCCTGAAATGGGCACTCATGCTTCAAGAGGGAAGACTGCCATCTCTTTGTTTAAAAAAAAAAAAAAAAAACAGCCCTGGAAGAGAAATCCCGAGTGTGAGTGTTTGTTGTGGCCCATAGCCGTGTTGCTAGCCGGAGCTGCGAGGCGATCCACGGGACCAAGACGACTCTAACTGCACAACGTAGAACCTTGCTGCTCCAAGAGGCAGCTCTGTTCCTTTGCCTCCAGTGTTGGACTGTTAACTGCTGCATCTCATCACCTTTTTTTTTTTTTTTGTAAGAGGGTATGCACCGTTGGGCCATGTGCACTGACATTGTAACTCTTGGTATCTTTACCACAGCATAATTAATAAACTTCTCTATGTCTTCTACCTGCCTTTTGGTGTACATCTGTTGGAGGGTTGTCATGTGAAAGAGGGGGGTTTGTGGTTTTCAGCATGAAGCAAACAGATGTGTCTGAGCTGTACCCTAGCAAGAAGCCACATAGATTTCGATTCGGTGGTCTGCTGGAGCCAGCTCCCACGACAGGAACCGATGATAACATTTTTTAGGGACTTTGCCAATTGGGTGTTAAACTGTTGGTTGCTCGTGGTGATAGTATTTGTGCTATGGACCCTGCACCATGCAGCGTAGGCATCCGACAGCTTTGCAAGGGATCCAGGACAAGTCTGTCTGATGAGCATGCTGTGGGTAGGCCTGGCCAAGGATGAAAGTGTGTCCAGCAGGATCCGTCATCTGGAAGTGGTGAGTTTTAAGGCTGTGCGTGCTCAGGATGTGCAAGGCGCACGAGGGGTTCTCTAGGAGAGCAACTTGCAGGCCTCGGCACTGCTCTCCCGTGATCAGAGGAGATCTGCATGTCTGGCTGGGGAGCTGCAGGACTGAGGTGCGAATCTTTGGACCCAGAGATTGGGTGATGGCCTGGCTTTATTGCACCTGTGTGTTGAAAGAAGAACTGAGAGGCTGCCGTATCCCAAACCCAGAGCCAAATGTTTCGTGGTCCTTTTAAATCCTTGTCTTCTGTGTGCACGAAGCTGACTGCCCCTCAGCAAAGGTGTGCCGAATGCCATCAGGCCCCCCTTCAGAGAGCTCGTCGTGCGGAAGTGGGTGACACCTGCACAAGGCTGGGCTGTGGGGCTCGCCCACGTGAGCCGAGCTTATTAGCCCTTTGGAGGATGGAAGCATAATCTAAAAAAGTGGCTAGGGGGCCAGCTGACTGAAAGGAGAAGCTTGACTTGGAGGTTCCGGTTTGTGTGCCGGCAGCAGGCTCAGCACGCATACACTTGGCTTGCACTGAGTCTGACCTGCGGCACTGGCAGAAGTCTCTTCGGTGCGGTGTGGGAAGTGCTGTTGCCCAAGAGCTCAGTGCACAGCCCCTCCTGGGCCCCTGCATCTCAGGTAAGCCCTTGCTGTGTGCCTGTCCACCCACTGTCTGAATGTCTCGCCGGGGAGAAGGCTGGCTGATCTGGCACGCCTTTAGGATCGAGAGGCCACAGTCCTACAACTCTCCGTCTTTGTAGGGCCACTGTCATAAGGTGGTCTGGTATGTGCAGTTTTAGTTTCTGTAGTGTAGAGCGACTTAGGTTAAGAGCCTCAGAAAAAAGAAAAGGAGGGTGGGCTCGTGGTAGAAGAGTAAATGGCAATGACGATAATTAACTTTCAGCTTGAAGTTGCCCGTGGTTGTGGTAGAGCCGTGACTGGTTCTCCTTGAGCTCATGGCAAAACCCTTCCTTCATTGTTCTTCTCTCCATTGTAGATGTGAAAACCTCTAGCCTTTAGGAGCCAGGAATGCCAACCTCCCAAGAGAGTGAGGTTCTCATCCTCACTTGTCACGTCCCTGGGGTAACCCTGACCTTGGGAAAGACTGTGTAAGGTGGTTTAGGTGTAATCGGGTCTGCAGGAAGCAGTTGGAGTCCCTGATGGCTTCCAAGGTGCCATTCCAGTGGAGGCTTGGAGGATGTAACCTGCGCTGCGTCACAGGAGCCGTGCTGTCGCCAGTCTGTACCAAGTAACCTCGCAACAAAAAGCAAGAGCACAATTTAAGAGGTTTATGCCTCAGAGTCATTACATGGACTTGTACAGGGATACTTCAAAAAGTTCATGGAACTCAGAAATACGAGATAAATAGGTTTATTTTGGTACAAAATTGTTTGAAATCCATGAGGAGTTTGTTTCAGAATACCCATTTTCCACAGACTTTTTGAAGCCCTCTCCATATGCAGGGATTTCAATTTGTTTTTGTTTCAAAAATAATCCTATCTTTTAATTCCATTTTCCGTGAACTTTTTTTTTTTTTTAGATTTATTTATTTATTTGAAAGGCAGAGTTACAGAGAGAGAGAGAGAGAGAGAGAGAGGTCTTCCATTCACTGGTTCACTCACTAGATGGCCACAGCATCCGGAACTGGGCTGATCTGGAGCCAGGAGCCAGAAGCTTCTTCCAGGTCTCCCACATGGCTGCAGGGGCCCAAGGACAGGCCCAAGGACTTGCACAATCTCCTACTGCTCTCCCAGGCCACAGCAGAGAGCTGGATCAGAAGTAGACCAGCTGGGTCTTGAACCCACACCCATGTGAGATGCCAGCGCTACAGACGGCGGCTTTACCCACTACGCCACAGCACTGGCCCCTCCATGAACTTCTTGATGTATGTTTTATACCTAAAAGCATCTGAGAGCCTGGAGATACATGGCACTATGAAGAGAGATGAGGGGGACTTAGCATTGCAGCTGGGCGGGTGGCGTGAGCGAGGGGACGCTGGGCAGGTGTCTGTTGGCTTGGTGGTGGGCTATCCCCACTGGGGACAAACTCCTGACTGAGCCAGCACTGCTGTTCTAGTTTACCTCGCATTATTGTGATATTTGGGGGTAGTTTTCCTATTCTGTGTGGTAGGGTCGTTGTTGTGAGCTTACCTTCTGAAGTTTTCTCTGTCTTAGTTGTGCCAAGGGTAACAACTGTTCTACACTCATAAGAATAGGGAAGGGGATCTGATGGTTGTAACCTTCCAGGAGCAATAGACGACCCCTTCCAGAAGTCATGTCATGAAAGAGCTGTGAGCTCAGGTCAGGATTGAGATGACGAACTCTGCAGAAGTATCTCAAAAATACCTTCTGAGGAGGTCACTGTGTATCTAGAAAGAGAAGGAAGCAGGTAGAAGTTAAACATTTAAATGATACCTATTATTATCAAGGTGCTTCTGAATGCTTTTGTTGGATGTTTAAAAACTGAGATTTATTATATATGTATATATATATGAAATTCAGAATTTTGTAACCATATACTCATGTATCTGTAATTCAGAATTGTGTGTGTGTGTGTGTGTGTGTGTGGAGCCATGCAGTGCATGATGGTAGTTTTGTCACCAGTGGGTTGTTTATACAGTGGTGGCCCCAAAAGGTTGTATCGCCTCCCGACATTGCAGTTTGTGTCTGTACACTCGATCATGGTCACACGGTAAGAAAAGCACCGAACGATGCCCTTCTCAGAATTTTTTGCATCCCTGGTTGGTAAGTGATGACGGGATCAATAACAATAGGAACCTCTGTGTCATCGCCAACTGACTGGGGAACTGAAGCTTGACTAGAGTGTTGGTGGTGGATGTCCAGTGTCCTGAGCTCGTCTGACGAGTAGTAGCTTGGTGCTCCTGTGGACCTCCCTCTGGGCTGGTGCTGGAGATGCCGGGGATGTGGGCAGTGCTCTTGGCCCAGTAGAGCTTCTGGTCTTAGTGGGGGTGAGGGGATGGAGAGCAAGGCTTTACTCAAACGAGCACACAAAACATAGAGAATTAGAACTTGTGACAGATGCCCTAAGAGAAAGATAGTGTAGTGAGACATTTGGTTAGGGGATCTGACCCAAAAGAGATGGCTGTGGAGGCGTGTCCTGAGGAGGTGACATTCTAACTTGGCAGCTGAAAGATGAGGAGGGGCTAACAGGGGAGCGCGCGAGCTGTGGGAGTTGGAGGAGCAGTCGGTCGGGGGTAGCAGAATATGGTTCCACAGAGAAGCTTTGCCGCGTGCCATGGCCCCAACACAGGCTTGTATGAGCCCTGGATCAGGTGCTGCTGCTGCTCTGTGTTTTTCAGACAACTCACTTTACGATCCATGCCTCAGTTTCCTCGTCTCCAAGGCCTTGACTCAGGATTGTGGTGAGGACTAGTGAGTTAATGCGGAAGGCACTCCGACAGTGCCTGGTGCAGGGCCTTCTCTGGGTGGTTGCATTCTTGCACTCCCGCTTTCTGGTGTAATGCTCTATTACGTAGGAAGACAAGATAGGGGTCTGAGCCTTTAACGCTGAGGACAACGCTCAGGGAGGTCGAATGCTTTTCCCAGGGGTCAAAGAGTCAGTGAATGGAAGATCTGAGCCCAGAAGATAAATTGTTTTAAAACCCAATTCAGTGCTTTTTCCGTTGGAATCACTGCTGCTCTTCGCTCACGCTGGGTTCGGAGCGTGTGCTGGAATGGTTAGAACTGAAAATGGGTCTCTTTGGTAATCAGATAGGGTGCATGTTTCTTAGAATTTGTTTGAAAGTGGTTTTGGGTGTGTCTCTTAGTGACTCAGGTTTGGCGACTAGATTCAGAATCTTTGTAGGGTCACTGGTTTCCTCTTGGAGCGGAGCAGTGGGGTGGCAGGATGCCTTTATGTTGATGTTGATGATTACACGGGCAGCTGTGGGCATTTGTGCAGCATGTGCCAGGCACGCTACAGGTGCAGTAGCTCGGGATGGGACACGACTCTGCAAGACGCAGAGTCAGGCTCTTGAGAGTGTACAGACTTGAGTAGGGGTTGGTGGCAGGCAGAGTGGTCATCGCGGCTCCGTGCAAATGGTGGGGTAGGCACCAGAGCTGCGTGCTGTCTGCTGGGCAGAGAAGGGACAACACCCACGGCCCGGGGAAGGACTCAGCCAGCAGGTAGCGGGGGTCTCAGATGGCCTGGATATGCTGACCGAAAGCTAGGGCGTGTTGTGTGTAGAGGAGGCCGTGATGGCTCTCGGTCACGCGTGAGTGTGCGTGGGGTGAGGTGCATGGCCTGAAACATGAGGAGCGCTGTGGCCGTCTCTGGAGAGAGCTGTGTTTTCTGTAGCGGTGCTTCTAGTTGGGGAAACTTAATGTGCCTCTCAGTCCGTCTGCATCCATGTGATGCCCATCTACATTGTCCCGTGGAATTCAGAGTGGAGACGGGTAGTTCTCGTGTGTTCGGATCCGTCATTTGCTGTTCTTACAGGGGTGGAAGCTCACAGTCTGAAAGTTCCCTGACCTGGAGACTTTGCTACCTGACTCCTAGGTCCCCAGAAACAGAGTGTTCTAGGGTAACACTCCCTGGGCTTTGAAACGCTGTCACTCGCGTTATCCTGTGTGATTTTTGCATTGTTATTCCATGTTAGAGGCAAGGAAACTGAGGATCAGGGAACCCCGCTGACTTTTCTGCACAGGGGGGACCTCAGGAAGGAACCGCCTTGGACGGTTTGGCCTTGATTTTCGGAGTGGAGGACTGCGTTGATTAAAACACAAGTGAGGACTCTCTTGGGTAATCATCTTCACCAAGTAAAACGACCACGCCACGTGCCAGACGTCCCAGCAGAGGCGGCTGGGTGCCTTGCTGTCGACGAAGTGACGAGACCTCTGCTCCTGGCAGGTTCTCAGGTGGAATCTTCCAGTGGCGGGGCGGCGAGGGTGCAGGGGTCACACCTGACACCCAGCACCACAGTGGGAAGCCTTGACCAGCTGAACTGGGACTCCCTGGAGTCTGGGGTCTTTTGTCTGACCAAGAGAGTTTGGGATCATTGTGTGGAATAGGGAATGCTTTTCCAGGAGCTGGTAATGCCACAGAGATAATGTAGACATTGAAGAAATACTTTTGCCCATGCAAAGTGCAATTCTCATTCCACTATAGGCTATTCTACCTTAAAAAAGTAAAAAAAAAAAAAAAAAAAAAAAAAAAAAATAAAAAAACAAAACAAAAAAACCACCATACACAACCCCCCACTCCCAGCCCGCCCTGTGGGCCTTTCGTATGGCTTCTTCGTGTCCCACCCTTTGGTTAACTCCTCAACTGGGTTTACATTTCTCCCCCTTACTCCTACATCTCCTTTCCCACATGGCCTGCACATTCCTCACTGAAAGTAGGAATTCTAACTGACTGGGGACATGGATGACAAGTCCGGGCTGGCATCCGTCATTTTTGTTTCGTGTGAAACGCTCAGGTTGTGGAATGCCTCGGGTTCGCACCTCAAGGACTTGGCTGTAATCATTTGCTCCCCCCACCCCTTGAAAAGCAGCTTTCATCCTCTCTCCCCTTAGGGCCAGTCTGATGCAGCCCCCAAGCGGCTGTCCCAACACCGCTGGGTTTTGTCTCATCAGAGCGCTGTCAGCCTCTTGTATTATTTTCTTTATCCCTTCATTTGCTGCTCTTCTCCCCAACTTCTCCCAGCTGAGAACTGCAGCTGGGCCAGGACCCTGTCTTTCTTGTTCAATATTGCACCCCTCACGGGTGGTTAAATCAGCGAACTGGATAGTGAAGGTCTGACTTTGTTCTCTTTTGTCTTAAGATCGCAGAGTTGACAGCAGCATGTTTTGCCTGGTGACGCTCATCCTGAACTTGGTGTTACTGAGTAAGTAGAAGCCAAGGCCTGAGAGGAGTATTTAATTTCTCATAAGTCTCATGCGTCTCAAAAACCCGTTTTTGTGTATCTTCACCCACTGGGGTTGTTGAAAACAGAAGCTTTAACCTGAAGCTGCAGAGTTTTGCCAAAGCAGCTGACTGGGAAGCCAGGTCGCAAGCCTTCCTTGGAAAGTGGGGTCTTCCCCTGTTTCTGTCAGACACAGAAGGCCTTTGAGTGGGGCCCTGTTGCATGACACAAAGCAAGTTTCTCCCCAGCATGCTTGTACTTCCAGTTGCCGTCTTCTGAAACCGCAGCAGCCCGGATCTGGAACTGAGATTGCCCAGATCCCTTTCCTTGTTTCGGGCTGCGGCCGCACGCGCCTGCCTCCGCACGCCTCCTCACGTGCACACAGCTCTTTCCCAACTTCCTGTGGTTCCTTTGTCTGGAACCCTCCCTCCCCGCTGCCAGTGTTGCCCAAGGCTTCCTTAGGCTTCGGTTTCCATCCACAGCACCCCTTCCCTGGGGTGTGCCCCTGCCTTCTCCTTAGCCAGACTGGGTCTCCTGGGTGTGCCTCAGCGGGGTGCTCAGCGCTGCCCCTCCTTTCTCCTTGGCCTCTTTATCCCAGGGATGCTCGGTGGGGAGAAGAAAGGAATCAGGTGCTTGGCGCTCCTAGCCTTCTAGTTTTCTCTTTATTATTATTTTTCCAACTGTGGAGGGCAGCTTGAACACTGACTTAGCAAAGTACACACCTCACTCCAGTTCCAGGCACAGAAAGTGTACACACACACATGCACACACATATGCACAATACACACACAAAAGTACACACATAAGCACACACATGCATACACACATGTACACACATGCAATACACACATAGCATGTATGTGTGCACATGTACACATACATACACACCTGCACATGTGTGTAATCTGCAGTAGACTGTTTTTCATGGAAGCAGGGTGATAACTGTGCCGGAGGGTGTTTGGCTGTTTCCCAGAGGCCTGTGGAGAAGTCTGCTGTGTTTGCCCTCCCCTCCAGAGAGTCGCCCATCCAAGCCCTGTGGGTGGTGGCCTGGTGGCCCCAAGGTGTTCTGCAGGTCTTTCTGGAGCGCGTGGCCTCCTCTGTGAAAGCCTCGTTTTATTTGGCTGTTTCTCTACTAAGATCACCCTTCAGACAGGAGCTCCTCTTTGCTTTGGTTGTTGCTGTTGCTTTTGAAAAATCCGTGATTGTACGTACAGAGCTGAAATGCACTCCTTATACCTTTAGCCACACGGGGACTTGCTCAGTTCTTCCTCACAGGAAAATTCCATCTAGTTGTTGCAGCTAATTTTGATTTCTTTCAAAATAACTCCCTGCGAAGGGTTTGCAGTTCATGTTTTCTTTTCCAGCCTCCCTACTGTGGGCCCGCTGCTGGGCAGGAAGTCAGCTCTCTTCTCTCAGGGAAACAGCTTGGATGAAGAGACTGGCACGTCGTCTGTCCCTTCCCATATGCGTTTGCTTGGCTCCTCTTTGTATGAGCCAGGCAGCTTCTAAATTTGTCTTTCTCTATTTTGTTTTCTCTCTGCATAGATCGCAACTGATGAGAGCAGAAATACTGATGCTAGGGTATTTGCTTTTCATGACCTCTTGCAATTCCTTGAGCAACATAGAGATATGGAGAGGGAGTGGTCCATGGGTGCCGGCACCCAGAGGCTGAAGAGCCAGGGCTGGTGGCACCGTGGGAGGGAGCGGGGCTGGGAGAGGGCAAAGCCAATGGGAGCTCAAGGGGAGAGCTGTACTCTGTATTGGCCCAGTTTCAATGACCTGCACAACGGCCTGCACTGCAGCAAATGCAGGGGCAGGTTTTTGTCAAAGAATTAAAGCAAGAGAGAGAGAGAGAAAGGCGACCAAAACTATCCCTGAACTGGCTTTTCAGATAGGGGGTCATGGGAAACTTAAGAGCAAGACGCATGCTATTTCCTGTTTGTGGTAAGTGGATGTGAGTGTCTAGATGGACCACCAGCGAGGAGGCAGTTCCGGGTGTCCCCTGGAAGGAAGAGTTCTGGAAGGAAAGGGGGAAGGGACCAGCTGGGAGGGAGCCGCATAGCATCCATGGCACTGGATGACCTGAGCCCTTGAGGTACCAGAGGATGCTTCTCCTAGCCTTGGGGCCGCCTGCTGGTTTGGGGTGCAGTTGGGTACGTGGGTGGTCCGTGTTGCATCCCTTGGGTGGGGGTGGGTGGTGGTCCAGTACTGCGTGGTTGATAGTGATTTTTGGTGTTGAGGGTATTCGTCTAAGCCATGTGTCTCTTGCTTTTGACTCATAGATTATTCCTGGGGCCTGAGTGACCCGATTGTTTCCACCCGTGAGCTAACAGTGCATGTGGGTGATTCGGCTCTGATGGGCTGTGTTTTCCAGAGCACAGAAGACAAACTCGTGACCAAGGTGGACTGGACGTTCTCCTCCGGAGAGCGCGCCAAGGTAGCAAGGAGGAAGCGTCGGGGGGGGCAGCGGAGGCCCTGGCGGCGGGTGGCAGGACTGAGCGGGCAGAGGGGGTGCCACGAGGTGGTGCTGTGCCGGGGCGGGGTGGGTGTTTGGGGGTCATCCCTGCACCCCCTCCTCACCTAGCCGCTTTGCTGGGCAGCTCCAGCTGGGTGTTTCTCAGGCTCGCTGAGCTTCAGCTTCCAGATCTGTGAGGAGGAGGGTGATTATATAACGGTAGTGCTCAACTGTCAGGTCGCTGAGGTCTGATGGGACATCCACGAGGCGTCTCCTGCTGTTTGTGGACTGGCACGGGTGGGTGAGGGAGCGGTTCCCGTGGTCTAAGCAGAGGAACTCCGGCCTGGGCACAGCACAGATGCCACCGTGATCTCTCTTGGGGTGAGAGGGGGCAGATTCATTCAGCACCCTACTTCCTCTGTGTTGTGGGGAATCACCCTTCTCTTCTCCGTGGCTGCTTGAAATGTGGAGACTGGCCAATGCAGCGTGACTGGGCAAAGTTCCTATTTGAGAGTAGGAACCAGGAGGCAGGAAGGATCTCATGAGAGCTTGTGTGGCCATCCGGGTATGTCAGGGTCCTTGGTGATTTCTTACTAGCAGCAACATGCCAGCATTTGCAAATGAAATATTGCCTTTGGGGCATTCCCTGTGACCTCTGTCATCCCACTGGCGTCAAATCAGTATTTATCAGTACAGGAGAGATTTAGCCCTGGTCTGAGTAGAAGTAACACCTCCCCAGGGCTTGCCCCCTAGCCTGCTGTTACTTCCTGCCCCTGACTCCTTGTGATGTGCCGCCTGGAGGGCGGCGGAAGCCAGAGCAGCGGCTGCCAGGAGCGCCAGCCCACAGGCCCAGTGGAATTCAGCCATGAATTCCATCGCCAAGGCATAGGGGCCATGATGGCAGACAGGGTGAACCTGAAAGATGGGTCCTCAGAAACTGTCAGCTGGCGTGCCCAGGGCCAGCATCAGAGGTGTTACATCTTAGGTTGCAAGAAACAAAAATGGGAGCCAAGTTTCTCACTTGTCCTTGCAGCCAGTGAGTCACTGAGCACGTCACCTGGCACCTTGTAATTATTCCCTGAGGATTTGCTCCTAATTAGGCTGCCTCCACAGACCAGGATCTCTTGTTTGTTTGTTTGTTTATCTATCTGAGAGGCAGACACACATGCAGAGAAGGAGATAGAATGAACCTGCTGCTTTAGTCCCTAAATGCCCAGGTCTCCCTCGTAGGTGGCAGGGACCCAATCACTTGAGCCGTCACCCTCTGCCTCCCGGGGTGTGCATTAGCAGGAAGCTGGCATCAGGAGTGGAGCCAGACCTTGAACGCAGCCACTCCGGTGTCCCAACCACCAGGTCCAACACTACCCTGACAAGGCCTTTGGAATCCAGCCTCCCAGGTCTGACAGCTCTTTCGCTTCCCTCCCACGTGTGTGGCTCTCAGGACGAATACGTGCTCTACTATTATGCCAACCTCAGCGTGCCTGTGGGGCGCTTCCAGAACCGTGCGCGCCTGGCGGGGGACATCTTGCGCAAGGGTGGCTCCCTGCTGCTCCAAGAGGTGCAAGAGGCTGACCAGGGGACCTACACCTGTGAAATGCGCCTGGAAAAGGAGAGTGCCGTGTTCAAGAAGGCAGTGGTGCTGCACGTGCTGCCCGAGGAGCCCAGAGGTACGCGGGCGCATCCTTCGGCAGGGGCAGGCCCCCGCGGTGCAAGAGGCCAGGAGCTGTTCTTGGAGAGGTTAAGGAACTAGCCCAAGGACGCATCTGTTAAATGGCATAAAGAGCACTTGCATCTCTGGCAGTGGGGTCCGCAGCCTTCTCCCTGCGCCCTCATAGCTGCCAGCGGTTACACACACTGGTGCCACGTCCGCATTGTGTGCTAGGGGTTCCAGGGCTTACAAGAGAAACCGGCACATCTTGCTTGTTTGCACCTCATTTCCCATCGGTAAACGGTGGCAATGGCTTTAGTCCATCCAGAGCTTTCAATTGTGCCCTGCAGACGCCCCAGCCCCAGCCCCACTCACCTGGGAACCCGGGTGGCACAAAGGTGAGGACAGGGCGGGGCTGGTATAAGGCCTGGGCTGCCACGTGAGACTTTGCAGGAGCAGGTTCCGCTGCTTTAAAGCAGTTTGAAAGTGAGCGCAGGAGCCAGGCAGCCGTTTGGGGCACTGCTTTTCTTCCTGGCGTGTTGGCTGCCAGGCGCACACGTGGTACTGTAGGGAAGGAGGGAAAGTTCTGGCCGGCAACCGTGAGCAGCCAGGCGGGGCTGGGAAACACTGTCCATGGGTCACGGAGACAGCCGGACGAGGAGCTTGTCACCTAGAATACGGATGTGCCAAAGCAGCTGTCGATGACAAGTGCTGTGTCTGTTCTTTTGAAAAAAAATATTTTCTTACCATACAAATAAAAATTGTACTTATTTATAGGCTAGTAGGTGCTGTTTCGATACCTGTTTATGTTGTGCAAAGTGTAATCGGCTTGAACATATCCTTCTCCTCAAACGTTTCATATTTCTCTATCCAAAATGCTCTCCTCTAGTTTAATAGACAGCACAGTAACAGTCCCTGTAGCCACCCGAACTTCTTGCTGACTTCCAGCGTGGCTTAGTGCCTGTCAATCCATCCTTCTCTACCCCTCGCTCCCCTGTCCCTCCCCAGCCTGTGTAACCACCATTCGACTTCTTTTTTTTTTTAAGGTTTATTTTATTTATCTAAGAGGCAGAGTTACAGACAGAGGGAGAGACAGGGAGGGATTGATCTTCCATCCACTGGTTTACTCCTCAAATGCACAGAACGGCCGAAGCTGGGTAGATCCAGAGCCAGGAGCCAGGAGCTTCTTCCCAGTCTCTCAAGTGGGTGCAGGGGCCCAAGGACTTGGGCCATCTTCCACTGCCTTCCTAGGCCACAGCAGAGAGCTGGATCAGAAGAGGAGCAGCCAGGACTGGAACTGGTGCCCCAGTGGGATGCCGGTGCTGTAGGTGGAGGCTTAACCTACTACACCACAGCGCCGGCCCCCCACTGTTATACATGTCACTTGTATGAGATGAGAGCACCCTTTTATAAAAGGCTGCACATAGGAGTGAGGTCACATGACACTTTCTGTGCTTGCTGGCTTATTTCACTTAAGACGACGACCTATAGTTCCAATCATATTGTCACAGGTGAAAAGATTTCATTGTATTTTTAATGACTGATAGTATTTCTTATTTAAGATGGTGACATTCTTGGGAAGCATGTAGACTAAAATAAATCACTATTGAAATGGCCTTGCATGAAGCTACCTATGCCACTGAAGTTCTAAAATCTTTCATCGTGTAAATAATTGTTCTTATTTATTTATTTGAAAGGCAGATTGACAAAGAGAGATGGAGAGAGAAAGAAAGAAAGAGTTCTTTTATCTGCTGGTTCACTTCCCAAAATGGGCACAATGGCTGGGGCCAGGCTGAATCCAGGAGCCTGGAACTCTGTCCAGGTCTTCCGTGTGGGTGACAGGGGCCCAAGCACTTGGGCGGTTTGCTACTGCCTTCCCAGACACGTTAGCAGGGAGTTGGGTTGGAAGCAGAGCAGCCGGGACTCAAACTGGCGCTCTGAGAGGGGCTGCCGCTGTCACAGGTGGTGGCTCTGCCTGCTGCACCAGCACACCAAACCCTGCATCCCTCTTCTATAATGAACTGTTGAGATCCAATCCAACTGACACCCAGCGTCTCTAAAATCCAGTTCCTCTCTATCGATATAATCATTCCTAAATCAAAATATTTCAATGAATAGAAGTTTGAAAGCCACAGACCTGGGTGCCTTCTTTACAAGTGTGGGATGGAGGAGTTTGGGGTTCAGGCAGGGAGCCAGGATCTACCAGCCGGGCCCTCTGGTGCTTGGCATTGTGATGGTCTTCAGAGCAGCTGCCTTCTCCTGGGGGCACTCCCCACACCTGCTCAGTCACTTCTGCCCTGCTCTGCTCCATGTCCTTGGTCTCCGATGAGTCCTGGCCCGAGCGCTGGCACAGAGTTGGCAGTCAATAAGCATTTGTCACATGAGGGCAATTCTGGAACTGAATTGCTATCCCTCAGCCTAATCTTATTTCTGAGAAGCGGAGCTGCAGACGCTGGCTTCTGGCTGGTCTCCTAATTTTCCTACTTTAATTTTATTGCCATTTTCCTTGTGATTTCGGTGCTCTGTTTCTCCAGGAGGAGGAAGCAAATCAGATCCCCATGTGCCCCAGGATTTCTTCTGTTTCTCTGTGTGCCTTTGCCTTTGGCGCTGTACTTGAACACATGTGTAGACAAGCATAGCCTGCACGAGGGGTGCCTTTGCCTTCCCGGAGGAACAAAAGGGAGGCCGTTCCAAGAGTTGAAGAAGCTGTGGGGACAGGGGCAGTCAGATGATCCCCAGGGAACCGCTGGGGCAACCTGCATTTATTTCTGCATCCAGCCAAAATGAGGATAGACCCAGCCTGCGATGTGTGCCTTGTAGCTCCGGGGAAAGTCGTTCTGTGGAGCTTGCCGCCTCCCATGTGGAAACCCCACTTTTTTTTTTTTTTTTTTTTTGACAGGCAGAGTGGACAGTGAGAGAGAGAGACAGAGAGAAAGGTCTTCCTTTTCCGTTGGCTCAGGCTTTGTGTGTAGGTGGGCTGCGGTTCAGCCTTGGCTCTGCTGTATGCTGGCCAGGAGGCTCTGGGCTGTCTGCCTCTCCCCTCTGCAGAATGGGTGAGTGACAGTACCTGCCTCACCTCCTGTGGGTGAGGAGTCTGGCACCTGTCTTTTACACACGGTAGGCCTTAGAGTATGCAGTTGTTAGCAGTGCACTTTAAAAACAGCGTTCAGTCCCTAACGTGTGGATAGAGCATGCTATACCCCACCTCCCCCTCCCCCCCACCCCCCGTATTCTTTGGAGTGAATTTTTTGAATTTTCAAAATAGTTCCCTGCATTGGATTTCGAGTTCATAATATTTTCTTTATTTCTTTCCCTTTCTTCCCCTTGTGCTTCTGTCTTGCTGGGCAGGAAGTAAACTCGTGGGTGCCGCGGTTTGGAGGAGAGGTCAGCGCCTTCCTCCTGGGCTTTGCTGAGCGCACACTCACGCTCCTTTGCAGGATCTCTGCTCAGCCAAGACCTAGGCTTGCGTCGCGCTGTCCTCTCCTGCCTTTCATTTCTGTGTTGCCTTCGTGGGTGATTAGCTCAGAGTGCTGCAGAGACATGAGACGCGTCTGTGTCCGTGGCCTCTTGTTGAGGATCTCTGGGAACAGCCTCTGCAGTGCATCTGGGGTGGCGGGTGGCAGCTGCCCCTGCTAGCAGGCAGAGGGAGGAGCCGAGGCACTGGGGCACAGTGGAGGGGGCAAAGGGGAGAGGAGAAACGTCCAGAGGAAGCTGTCTTCCTGCCTGGCCTGACACCAGAACTGAGTCCTAAGACAACTTGTAAACAGAATTTAAAAAGCTAAAGCAAATGACCCATGATTTATTTTTGTGGGTTATAAATGAGTTCTAGAACTTTCCACTTCCTCCTCATGCTAAGCAGATGTGGGTATCTAAGGTGACAGACAGGAAGCCGGGGCTTCTAGATTTTCTGTGTTTTCTTTCGTGCAAACTTGGTGGAGTTGGGGTGCACAGGGGAGTTCTGAGAAGGGGAACGGGAAGAGAATGAAAGGCGGCACGACGTATTTGGTCCACGGTAGGGGGTGTGCAGTCAGAGGACGCCCCCTTTCCCTCGGAGGGGGGGGGCGCTCTGTGGCTTGAGTGAGGGCCTCTGAGTACTGCGCCCACACGGGGTCGTCTGGGTCACCTGTGGGAAGGACACAGGCTGTGTTCGGTGGCCTCAGCGATTTGTTGCTAAGTCTTTGGTCTGAATTCTTTGTCTTCTAGAAAACCTTCAGCTCCTATGGGGTATGCCGTGGATCTGACTTGATTTACTGTTTTGTCCCAGAGCTCACGGTGCACGTGGCTGATTCGATTGTGATGAGGTGTGTTTTCCGGAGCACGGAAGACAATCTTGTGACCAAGGTGGACTGGACGTTCTCCTCCGGAGAGCGTGCCAAGGTAACAAGGAGGAAGCGTCGGGGCGGCGGCAGGGGGGCGGGGTGCAGCAGAGGCCCTGGCGGCGGGTGGCAGGACTGAACGGGCAGAGGGGGTGCCATGAGGCGGTGCTGCGAGGGCCTGGGCTTTGGAGGGGTCGTCCCGGGGCCTTCTCAGCATCTTCCAGAAGCAGCTCAGCTTCCAGGGTTGGCAAGCTGCCGGCTCAGTGAGCGTGAACGTGGGGCGCACTTGGTGCCTGACTTGGCTGCTGTGTCTGGTGTCTCCTGCCCTTCTGCTCCTCTTTGTAGAGTCCACGGCACAGTGCAGGGAGACCTGCTGGAGTCTGGGAAAGCTGCGGGCCAGCGTAGGGATGGCCGCATTCTTACTCCTATTTGAGTTATTTTGTCTGCGCTCCTTTGCCCCATGTATGTGATGGGGGAACTTCCTTCATCTTGGTGGGAGCGTCAGGCGGGTTGGGATTGGTGTATCCCCAGGGCCCAGGGCGAGGGCTGGCTCATGGGCACTCCATGGGGCAAGCTATGTTGTGAGGGACATTCTAGGTACATTGTTGTTAGTAGTGAGAGTTAGGATGCAAAGTTTTAGAAAAGGTGTCACTTTTGTAAATTACAACAGAGTCCAGGTCATCCCTCTGACGAGGTGGTTTGCACTCGCTTATCAGCTGCATGCTGCTGGAGGGGGCAGGCGGGTGGGGGGGGCAGTGAACTGAGGAAGAAACTGACGTTACCGCGTCAGGCAGCCCTGAGCGTCAGGGAGGGCAAGGCAGGGTCTGCCGGCATTTCGTACTGGGGGTCAGCAAGGCTCCAGCGAGGAGGTGACATTTCGGCAGAGAGTAGAAGCGAGGGAGGGAGTAAGTGTGTATTTCTGGGGGCTGTGGGGGCAGGGGAGTGTTCCTGTTACAGGGAATTAGCAAGTGCAAGGGCCCTGAGGCCAGTACTCAAGGGGCAGCGAGGAGGTCAGTGTGGCGGGAGTGAGGTGACCCGAGGAAGCGAGGGAAGAGCAGGTCATGTGGGGCCTCATATTTTTAAGAGAAAGGGGCTGGGGGTATCAGAAGGTTTTACACAGAGGAGTGGCATGACTGACATTTTTGGGGGTTCCTGGGCTGAGAAGGGATGGTGGTGGAGAGCAAGCAGGAAGAGAACTAAGGGATCCAGCGAGGGAGAGGTGGGTTGGGCCAGAATTCTAGCGGTGGGGGGGTGGGCGAGGAGGTGTTTTGGTGGTAGGGGCTACAGGACTGGCTTAGGGGGTTACATGTGGGTTGTCCACGAAGGAGAGGAGTTACGGATGTGTCCACGAGCACCAGGAAGGTGGCATTGCCCTTTCTCGAAAGGGACAGACTAGCAGGAGCCAGTTCCAGGAGACGTTAGGAGCTGTGCTGTCAACGTGTTCCAGGGGCTCTTTGGAAACCCACCTGGAGGTGCCATGAAAAGTAACGGGAGAATGCAAACAGCGGAAGTCGCTCCGCGCTCCTGCCCTTGTCACACCTCTGTTCAGACGGAAATACCAGCAGTGTGTGAGCGTGCACACGTGTGTGGGTGTGCACCCGTGTGTGGGCGTGCACGACGTGTCCTCTGCTACTTCCGGCACTGCCTGGTTGCCGTCACTAGTGAGTCCCGGGATCTTTGTGCCCTGCCCTGTCCTCACAACCTCGTGCTTTTTGCCTTTTCCTTCTTAGGTGGAGGCCGTGCTCCGCTACCACCCCAAGCTCACCACACCAGGGGAGTACTCCCGGAGCTGGGGCCGCTTCCAGAACCGTGTGAACCTGACGGGGGACATCTCCCGCCACGATGGCTCCATCGTGCTCCGGGAAGTGAAGGCATCCGACGGAGGAAGCTACACCTGCAGTGTCCACCTGGGGGACCTGGTGTTCCGGAAGACAGTCGTGCTGAGTGTGATCCGGGAAGAAAGTATCTCACATTCCACTGGGGTGGGGGTGCTGAGGGATGCCAGAGCTGGCAGGCTGGGCCAGGCCGGAGGGGCTCCCAGGATGCAAAATGGAAGAGGGCACCGCTGTCAGGGGCTGGTCCTGACCTGCACCGTCCTGGGAGTGATGCCGCATTCAGTGTGGCTTCTTTGGTGCCTGGCTTGCCTCCCCACAGCACTGGCCCAGCTGCTGGGCCAAGCAAAAGGGAGCTGACATTTAGCAAACCCCAGCCCTCTGCCAGAGCCCTCTCATTGCCAGTGTGGTCTGTCCAGGTAAAGATACGAGGGCGCAGAGATGGAGCAAAGTTCATGTCCAAAGCCGTCTTTACCTGGCTTCCAGGGAGGAGCTGGGTGCTGGGCGGTGGAAGGGAATGTGGTCCTGAGCTGATGGGGGACAGCAGGGAGTGCAGCCTGAGCCGGAGGGGTTTTCTTATCCAAAGTTCTGTACTATGGCAGCCACTGTGCTCCACAGCCCAGGGGAATAAACAATCGTGTTGACTGAGAGAGGTTGATAAGTGAGGGATTAACGTTAAACCATAACCCAGCGGTCGGGATGTGACCTGTGGACTTTGCCTCTTACTGAGGCCTTCAGGAGGTCCCTTGGGTTGGCTGGGGGTCGGGGAGAGCCGGGAGGATGGAGCATACCGCGACACCCAGGGCCAGAGAGCCAAGTCCAGGGAGGCACCTCCTTGTTGGTAGCACAGGCTTGTGGCTGGAGCGGGCAGCAGAGCAGGTGGAGTTGAGAGCATCCTGTCTAGGTGCACCTCTCCCTCACAGTCTGCACTCTGCTTCCCAGGGAAGATGCGTGCCATGGTGGGGCCACTCAGCTGCCCTGCTCACCCTGCCCACCTTGCCCACAAACATAGCTGCACCTGCTCCTGTTCTTACTGGTTTGGTTCTTCCTCTTGCCTGTGTATTTATCTATCTCGCTTGTATTTCTTTTTCTTAAAGCAAGGCTCCTGGCTGTAATTGACATACCCTATAGTTGACACACTTAGAGTATACAGCTCAATGGTTTGTGGTGTATTTCACATTGTAGCACCACCACTCACCACAGTCATTTCCACATTTCTCTCTCAGCATAGCCAAACAACTTGCTAAAGGGCTGTACTTGCTGTCTTGCTGTCTCGTGTCCCAGCAGCCCCTCTGTGTGCCGTGTTGACTCCTGCTTCTGCCTCTGCTGTAGCCTGATGACTCTAATCACCTGTCCCCAGCCTTCCTACCTCACTGGTACTGGACACCACCTTCCATATGCATCCTATACTGGCTATGACTGTATATACACACACAGTCACACACACACACAGAGTCATCCTTTGGTATCTGTAGATTGGTTCCATGATCCACCCTGCAAATCCAAAATTTGCAGATGCTGAGGTCCCTTATATAAAATGGTACAGTGTTTGCATGGAACCTACATACATCTTTCCATATAGTTGCAATCATCGTTGGATTATTACAATACCCAGTACAACATAAATGCTGTGTATACTGTGCTATATACCACGTTGTTCAAGGGAGAAATTGCCTGCACAGATCCAGCTTTTTTCTTCTGAAACATTTCTAATACACGATTGACTGAATCTACAGATGAGGAGCCCTAGGATACTGAGGGCTGGCTGTGTGTGTGAGGGTACCTAAAAAGCTCATGGAAAATGGAATTAAAAGATCAGTATATGGGTGCTGCAGGTTAAGCCTCCACCTACAACACTATATGAGTGCCTGTTCCAGTCCCAGCTCCTCCACTTTTTTCTCCTCCTCCTTCTTTTTAAAAGATTTATTTCTTTGGGCTGGCGTCGCAGCTCAATAGGCTAATTTTCCGCCTGTGGCGCCGGCACTCTGGGTTCTAGTCCTGGTTGGGGCGCTGGATTCTGTCCCGGTTGCTCCTCTTCCAGTCCAGCTCTCTGCTGTGGCCCAGGAGTGCAGTGGAGGATGGCCCAAGTGCTTGGGCCTTGCACCCGATGGGAGACCAGGAGGAAGCACCTGGCTCCTGGCTTCAGATCAGTGCGGTGCGCCAGCCGCAGCGTGCCGGCTGCAGTGGCTATTGGGGGCTGCACCACCGGAAAAAGGAAGACCTTTCTCTCTCTCTCTCTCTCTCTCTCACTGTCCACTCTGCAGTAAAAAAAAAAAAAAAAAAAAAGTTTATTTATTTGTTTATTTACTTGAAAATCAGAATTACAGAGCGGGAGAGGCAGAGGCAGAGAAATCTTCCATCCACTGGTTCACTCCTCAAATGGCCACATGACTGGAGCTGGGCTGATCCAAAGCTAACAGCCAGGAGTTGCTTCCAGGTTTCCACATGGGTGTGCAGGGGCCCAAGTGCTTGGGCCATCTTCAGCTGCTGTCCCAGGTGCATTAGCAGGGAGCTGGGTCAGAAGTGGAGCAGCAGACTTGAACTGGTGCCCGTATGGGGTGCCAATGCCACAGTTGGCTGCTCTTACCCACTCTGCCACAATGCTAGTCCATGCTCCACTTCTGATCCAGTTCTCTGATAACATGCCTGGGAAAGCAACAGAAAATGGCCCAAGTGTTTGGGCCTCTGCTACCCACATAGGAGACTCGGATGAAACTCCTGGCTCCTGACTTTAGTCTGGCCCTGCCACGGCCATTGCTGATGTTTGAGGAGTGAATCAGCAGGTTGAAGATCTCTCTCTCTCCGTATCTCTCTCTCTGTAACTCTTTTTTTTTTTTTGTTTTTTTTACAGGCAGAATGGACAGTGAGAGAGAGAGACAGAGAGAAAGGTCTTCCTTTGCCGTTGGTTCACCCTCCAATGGCTGCCGTGGTCGGCATGCTGCGGCCGGCGCACCGTGCTGATCCGATGGCAGGAGCCAGGAGCCAGGTGCTTTTCCTGGTCTCCCATGGGGTGCAGGGCCCAAGCACTTGGGCCATCCTCCACTGCACTCCCTGGCCATAGCAGAGCTGACCTGGAAGAGGGGCAACCGGGACAGAATCCGGTGCCCCGACTGGGACTAGAACCCGGTGTGCCGGAGCCGTGAGGCAGAGAATTAGCCTAGTGAGCTGCGGCGCCGGCCGGTAACTCTTTCAAATAAATGATTCTTTTTGTTTTAAGAAAAGTGTATTTGGGTACAAAATATTTTTAATTCCATGCAGACAAGGGGTCTTCAACATGTTAATTGAAAATGCATATTATGAAAAGATTATGCATGCACTTTTTGTTCTCAAGCTATCTTTTAATTCCATTTTCCACAAACTTAAAACAAAATTTTTAAAATTTATTTGAGAGGCAGAGAGACAGACATAGAGAGAGCTCCCATCCACTGGTTCATGCCCTGGGTGCCTGCAGAGCCAGGGATGGGCTGGGGCAAGAGCCAGGAGCTGGGAACTCCACCCTGGGCGGCAGGAGCCCAGGCACCTGCGCCGTCGTGGCTGCCCCCAGGGTCTGCATTGGCAGGAAGCTGGAGCCAGGAGCTTGGGCTGGGTGTCGACCCTAGGAATTCTGATTTGGGACATGGACGTCTTAGCCAGTAGGCTAAGGGCTCACTCCTTCACATACTTTTTGTGAAGTACCCTCATTTTGCTCAATCCCACCCCAAATTTCCACAAATTCTTCAGATGCAACATGTTCAAACCTATCCCGGAGTCCCCTCCCCAGCCACCTGGCCCGCCTCAGTGGTGCAGACGGCAGCACCGCCAGCTCCAGGGCCGTCTAACTGGGTGCCTGGGGGTTGGACTTGGTGCTTCCCTTGCTTGTGCCCCCTAAGCTCACGCAGCAGTGAGTGTCGTCATTTCGACCGCTGACTCCTGGGGAGCTCTGCCTTCCTGGCCTCCGCCACCCCCCTGTCTCTGTCTTGGGCTGTCGTGGTCTGATTGATTTCCACTTTCATTCACAGCCAGCACCCTAAGCTTCCTGTAGCCGTTGGTGTGATCTCCTGTAGCCGTCGGTGTGATCTCCTATAGCCATCGGTGTGATCTGTCTAAATCGCAGACCAGAGCATTCCGCTCTGCTGCTTCGGCTCTTTCAGTGGTGTTTCCCCGCTGCCTACAGAAACAAGGCCCAGCTCTTGGCTGTGGAGATCAAGGTCCTTGCCGACTTGGCCCCGTTGTCTCTGCGGCCCAACTCCCCCCAGCACTCACAGGTGCACCCTTTGCCCCAGACCCACGGAGACATTTCTTGTTTCTAATGGGTGTATGCGGTGAGGGTGCCACACCTTGTGCCTAACACCGCTTCTGCCATTCCCCATATCGTCTGCCCAACAAACTGGATATTTCCTGTAAGACTCACTTCTGCTGGCAAATGCTCATCTTCTGCTGCCCAGAGCACTGGCTGCCCTTCCCCGTGTGCCCCTCTGCACCTCATGCAGACCTGTACCCATACCCATGGCAGCCTGTGGACTTCTGCGTCCGTGTTTGTCTCCTTGCTTGCAAGCAGCGGCCATGCACTGTTCAGCTCAAATCTCTGTGCCTCGTGGCGTCTGGCCAGAGGCAGAATTTGGTAGATTTAGATGTTATTGAGTACACGAGCAGAGGCTACCATGTGGGTGGGTGGAATGGGCCTCCGGTGCCTTCCTTGGGGTCGTGACTACGGGGCTGAGTCTTGTAGCATGTATTCTTTTGACAAATTTGTTTGTCCATAGAGAGAAAGAGAAGCAGCTTCTAAAATGCCCAAGATTTTTTTGAGTTGATTTGGTAAGCCAAAATGCGAAACAGAGTTGTTGATGTTAAAGGCAGCTCCATGATAGTTGAGATGCTACTGCTTCTCTCTCCACCTGAACCTACGTTTTAGGGGTAAGCAAGGGGTCAGACCGTGGTTCTCAATCCAAGGAGGCAGCGTTCCCGGTGTCCCTGTCTGGGCTGGGATCTGGCCTTCTCCCTCTGCCTCCTGACCTGGCTGCTGCTCCTTGGTGCAGAACTGATGGGGATCTTGGCTCTTCTCTGGGGTACTGAGACCCTCTCTTTGCTCTTCTCCTTTGCCAAGCACTGGTGGTCCCAGCCACCGTTAGACCTGAACTCCTGGGTGGGAATCAGCTGCTCATCTTGGTGGGCATCGTCTGTGCCACGATCCTGCTGCTCCCTGTCTTGATACTGATCGTGAAGAGGACCCACGGCAGTAAGAGGTACAGGGCTGTCCCTGTCCCTTGGGTTGGCAGGCAGGGCTGCAGGGCTGCCTCTGACCCCCAGAGGAAGAGGGCGGCAAGGCGCTTGCTGTGGCGTTCCCGTGGAAGGGGGGTATTTTCGAGGGAATCGTCCTGGCTGTCACGTCAGGTGTCATCGCGCGTACCCCCGCGCCGAGCTCACCGTGCTCCTGAGGTGACAGGTGCTTCTGCATCACCTCCGTTCACCTTGGCATCGTCCAGAGGGCACAGACTCCCTCCCGAGTGGGGTTCCAGGGAGAGCATAGTTGAGAGAATTGGTCTTCCACTTTCACTGCCTGAGAGAAATGACGCTGGGATCATCCGCATGGTGTCTCGCGGATAGAGGTCTGGATCGGGAGCGTGGCCCGCGGCCTCGTTGGAAGGCGCACCCCCCCCCCCAGAGGCCGTTCCCGCACCAATGCCCTCAGATCCTCCATAAATGACGTGGACGGCAGCAGTGCTCCCAGGGGTGCCCGGATGCCCTGGCACAGCCGTCAGCCCTTCACTGGCTGTGGACAGCCCGTGTCCCTCAATTTACCCAACAAGGGATGGAACATATTAGAAAGCCCCTCCGCCATGAAGACTAAGTAGAGCTGATTTTATTTTTAAATTGTGTACCCACTTTGCTTTTTTTTTTTTTTTAAGATTTTATTTATTTATTTGAGAGGTAGAGTTACAGACAGTGAGAGGTAGAGAGAGAGAGGGAGAGAGAGAGGTCTTCCATCCGTTGGTTCACCCCCCAAATGGCCACAACGGCTGGAGCTGCACCCATCTGAAGCCAGGAGCTTCCTCCTGGGCTGACTCTTTATTTTATTTTTTTTTTTAATTTTTTTTTTATTTGACAGAGTTAGACAGCGAGGGAGAAAGAGACAGAGAAAAAGGTCCTCCTTCCATTGGCTCACCCCTCAAATGGCTGCTATGGCCGGAGCTACGCCGATCTGAAGCCAGGAGCCAGGTGCTTCCTCCCCGTCTCCCATGTGGGTGTAGGGCCCAAGGACTTGGGCCATCCTCTACTGCACTCCTGGGCCACAGCAGAGAGCTGGCCTGGAAGAGGAGCAACCGGGACTAGAACCCAGCGCCCATATGGGATGCCGGCGCTTCAGGTGGAGGATTAACCAAGTGAGCCACGGTGCCAGCCCCAGGGCTGATTCTTTTTTAAAATAAAGATTTATTTAAAAGGCAGAGTTACAAAGAGAGGAGGAGGAGGAGGGAGAAGAGGAGGAGGAGAGACATTTTTTCCATACATTGGTTCACTCCCCAAATGGCCACAATAGCCAGGGGGGGCTAGGCTGAAGTCAGGAGCCAGGAGCTTCATCCAGGTCTCCCATGTGGGTGCAGGGGCCCAAGCACTTGGACCACAGGCACATTAGTAGGGAGCTGAATTGGAAGTGGAGCATCTAGGTCTTGAACCCGCACCCATATGGAATGCCGGCATTGCAGGTGCAGGTTTAACCTACTACACCACAACACCTGCCCCAGAGCTGGCCTTTGAGTGACTTTTCCCAGTGGAGCATGGATTCTGCTGGAAGTACCTGTGTCTGCCAAGTTTGCACGTGCTGGGGCCTCTGATTTGGTTTTGAGCTTGGGTAGCCTCATCTTTGCTGTGGTCCGTGCTGAGAGCAGAGTCGAGAGCTAGCCTGTCAGCCATCAGCTCCCTTCCCTACTCTGGGCCTCTGTGTCCCGCAACGAGAAGGGCAGCATTTCCACGTTTGTTCAAAAAAAAAAAAAAAAAAAAAAAAAAAAGACTGATATACGATAGTTTCACATTTGAGGAAATGCTGACCACCCTGTACATGATGGCATGGAATAATACTCCTGGGATAGGAATGTCTAAAATATACTGTGTGGTCCCATTGGTGTGACAAAGGAAATGCAGTGCTCACTTCTGCAGCATATATACCCAACAAGCTTTGTGAGTCTGTTGTGCTTAAACCGAGAGAGGTTGGGAGGCAACTGCCAGATACCCATAGTGGTGTGGTAGGAGGAGGTGCTGCCCATGGAGGTGCGGGCTGACTGGGAACTTCAACCTCCAGCCGGTTGCATAGCCATGGATTGTTTTAAAGGAAAAATGTACTTACAACTTATAATTTTTAAAAATATTTATTTACTTGAACGTCAGATTAGAAGGAGACAGAGAGGTTGGTCTTCTATCCACTGGTTTACTCCCCAAATGACTACAATGATCAAGGCTGGGCCAGGCAGAAGCCAGGAGCCAGGAGCTTCTTCTGGGTCTCCCATGGGTTACAGAGCCCAAGTGCTTGGGCCATCTTCTACTGCTTTCCCAGGCCATTGGCAGGGAGCTGGATGGGAAGTGGAGCAGCCAGGACTTGAACTGGCAGCCATATGGGATTCTGGCACCACAGGCAGCAGCTTTACCTGCTATGCCACAACACTGGCACCAACTAATAATTTAAAATGTGATGAAAGAATTTCCATGTTGAGACCTCCCCCCAAAAATGTCTTTTCTAACATTAATCCTTATTTTTTTTAAACTCTGCTTTAGGCCTAAATAGAACAAAAAGTATTCATGGCAAATGCTGGGGAGATTAAAGGCCAAGGGCCCAGGACAGGGAGGAAGCCAAAATTCAACTTGGCTGGGGTGTTCTGGGGGTAACTCTGCTCTTTCCTGGGAGAGGCTGGGAGCTCCTGAACTGGTGTCTAGTCTGGTATCTGCTGCCCCCTGCTGGTTCAACTACATCTTCCTACTCCTGGGAAATGCAGAGGACGGTGAAATCTAACCTCGTGGTCCCTTTTCCCATGCATTCACTCACCGCTGTGTATCCCATCACAGACAGAAGTTGTTAGAGTGCTAACAGGGAGTGGAGGCTGCTTCCCAGCCAGGATTCTATCCAGAGTTGCTGTCCATTAGAACTGCACGGGTCGGGACTCAAGGGTGGTGCCAGCTGCAGGAGTAGCCCCGCCTCCAGTCTCTTCCCAGAGCTGTGGGGGTGGGGTGCCTCAGGTGGGCCCCCGTGAACCAACAGTGTCGCTGCTTCTGTCCACATTGCTTTTCCTGCCTTGCAGTTCCACAGATTCAGCAGCCATGGTAAAGAACCTGAAGAACGCGAAGAAGGCTCAGCCAGAGGTGAGAGCAGCAGCGGGGGCAGCCCCAGCACGACACTCCTAAGTGGTCACAGGGGGTGCCATTCTCACTCCCTGGAACCCGGTCTTACTCAGCCGATGTCTCAGCTCGCAGGCCAGAGCCAGGCACAGAGCAGGCACGCAGGAAGCCTTTGTCCGTAGCATAAGCACCAGTGAGGAGTGGGGTAGGGGCCAGCCCAGCTCCGGCAGCTGTGAGCCGGACAAAGAGCACTGGACTTGGAGTCACGGAGCTCTGCCACCTCTCTGAGCCAGGCCGAAGCCAGGAGCCAGGAGCTTCTTCTGGGTCTCCTACATGGGTGGCAGGGGCCAAGAATTTGGGCCATCTTCCACTGCTTTCCCAGGCAGGAAGCCACATCAGAAGCAGAGCAACTGGAGCTCCCGACTGGAGCTGCGATGCGGGATGCTGGTGACACGAGCCCTGATACTCTTGACATTTAAGAACCTTGTACCATGTCTTCCCCCTCTAGAAACACGTGTACTCCTCGATAGCTACACGGGAAGTGACCGAGGAAGAAGATCCGAGTGGGAAATCAGAGGCCACCTACATGACCATGGTGAGTGTGATTCAGGGCCCCAGCTGAGCCTGGCATCCAGAGGTGGCAGGGGCGGGGGCGGGGGGTTCTGCTGGGTTCAGCAGGGCTGGGTGTGCGGGGCCATGCTTGTCCCTGTTGGAACAGCACTGAGCTCACGGCCCGCCGGCTGAGTGCGGCAGAGAATGATCTGCCAGGGGTGCGTGAGAGCCCCGCCCCGCACGAGCTGCACCCCGAGCTGCAGCTGCACAGGCTCTTTCCCCCTCACACCCTCCGCCCGCTGGGGCCCTGTGATGCTGCAGGGCCTCACCAGGCTCGTCCTGGCCCTTCGACACCTACCTGTGGCTCTCTGAGTCAGAAGTGAGAGGCGCGATCATCTTTACGGCTACCTTCCCCCCATGCAGCGCTAACAGCCCCTGCCTCGTCTTGAGATGGGGGCAACAGAGTGAGCGTAATGAGAGACCTGGCCACAAACTCAAAGGACTTTAGGGCTGGTTGATTATTAAAAAAAATTATTGATTTGAAAGAGAGAGAGAGGGAAAGAGAGAACCCATTTGCTGGTTTACTCCTCAGAGGCCTGCAACAGCTGGGGCTGGACCAGGGCTGGAACCGGGAGCCAGGAGCTGGGATCTCACTGCCAGTGTCCCCTGTGGGTGGCCGTAACCAGCGGAGCTGGAGCTTTGGGGCCCAGGTTGTGGTGCAGCAGGGTAAACCGCCGCCTGCAGGAGCCAGCACTGAAAGCCAGGCCCTCCGTCCGGATGTGAACTGCGAGGCCAGATGCCCGGCCCCGTGTGGGGACTCTGAAACACTGCATGCCGGGTTCGAGAAGCCTGGGGGTGAACTGCGGGCTGCAGGCCGCTCTGGCGGGGGCAGGGGAAACTCTGCTGCTTCCTGTGGCTGGATTCCTTCCCTTTACTTAAATGTACACTGCCCTTCTGTTCCAGATCCATGGGTTCACCCAGTCGTGGATGGAAAATGCTTAAAAAAAACCTGTGTCTGTACCAAACACGTAGACTTTCCTTACTCCCTGAACAACACAGTCTAGCAGATATTTACCCGGCCTATGTACTGTATTAGGTATCACAATTAGCAGTCTAGGGAGGTGGAAAGTCTATGGGGGGAGGGGTAGAGTCTATGTCATATGCCGTCTTCTGCAAGGCACTTGAGCATCTGCAGAGTTTGCTGTCCTTGGGTGTCCTGGCACCCAGCCCCTGGGGGTCCCCAGGGGTCCCTGTGGTAGGCACCTTGCCATTGCACCTTTCTAAGGCTCTTAGCACAGTGGTTAAAATCACAAGCTTTGGGCCCATGTTGTGGTGCAGTGGGTTAAAATGCCACCTGCAGTGCCTGCATCGCATATGGGCACAGGTTTGAGTCCTGGCTGCTCCACTTCCAATCCAGCTCTCTGCTAGGGCCTGGAAAAGCAGTAGAAGATGGCCCAAGTGCTTGGGCC